CTATTGTATATACTGTAGTTATTTTGTTTTTAATTAAACGAATGAACAAATAAACTTCCATAACTTCTAAATCTCATATTTCCTGCATTGTCATGTGTGTCTTTTTGAATGAGTTTCATTGTGCTCCCTACATGACTTCATCAATCAATCAATCAATCAATCAATCAATCAATCAATCAATCAATCAATCAATCAATCAATCAATCAATCACACAGAAAGTATGAGTCCTGACCAATCACGCAGGTTTTGATCATGTTGCTGTTTGACTCTCAGGGTGCGTCACAGTTTGTGTCCACAGGAGGGCGCTGTTGGTCTGCGAGCAGSAAGCGGCTCAACTTACCTGAAGTGTCACGTGACGCCGCCTCAGTCTCATTCAGAAAAACGCTTTTACTCCTTCAGTGCGAGTTTTAAATCAAATCAGGTGAAAAACTCACCTACTTTAATTCACTTTTATTTAAAAGCACGACTTTTACTCTGAAAAGATCATAAAACAGAATTTTACTGTAGGCTTTTATCAAAAAGAAATTGTTGTTGTTTGTTATAATGAACAAATAAGACACTTTAAACCTTAAACACCCAGCGGAGAAAGACAGAATATGAAGAGATTTGAATATTTTCAGTTTTACGCGCGTTGGAACGCTTTWATGGTTGGTTTGTTTTGGTTTCTTCTCCAGCCTCCTGAACGCTTCTGAAGCCACCCTGATGCGTGTCACGCGTGGGAATGAGGAAGGCGTGGTCAGGAATGAAAGTTCCAGCGGAGGCTCTCAGTCTGTCTGYGGGAACCAGGCACGGAGCTGCGCGCGCCGGACCGGACCAGCTTGGATCAGAAGCGCACCGGAGCTGCGCGTCAATTGGATCTTTTTTTATTTTATTTTATTAATTTCTTTTCTTCTCACTGATCGATTCCCTGCGCGCGACGTGTCGGATGTTGGATGCAGTTGTTCCGCGCGTAAAGGATCCAGCACGTGTGACGGACTAACCCCCACACACCATGGACGCTCTGGGCAGCCGCTGTAAGATCGTGGTGGTCGGGGACACGCAGTGTGGGAAGACGGCGCTCCTGCACGTTTTCGCCAAGGACTGCTATCCGGAGGTGAGTCTGAGCTCGTGTCTGTTCAGCAGGTTCCATCCACCTGCCTGTCAGAGGGAGGACCCCTGAAGACCTTCACCTGACCTGACATCCAGAATAAATCACATTTTTCTGCTCATTTATCCCCCCGCCCCCCCCCCCGACCCCAAACATTCTCCTGTTTTCAGAACTATGTGCCCACAGTGTTTGAAAACTACACAGCCAGCTTTGAGATAGACAAACATCGGATTGAGCTGAACATGTGGGACACTTCAGGTAAGATATTTACTCATAAACGTGTTGCTTCCAGAACAGAAAACGAACAGAAACACGTGACAAAACTCCAAAAAAACGGGCAGTTTGGTCTCATCAGTTCCAGAAACTTTGAGTGTGTCTACATGCATTTTGGTGAGTCCTGAATTCCTGTCACTTTGTGTGCGAATGTGTGTGTGTGTGTGTGTGTGTGTGTGTGTGTGTGTGTGTGTGTGTGTGTGTGTGTGTGTGTTGCCGTTTCCCTCCTGAGTCATCTTATGATTCAAAATGCGACAGATCACATGCTCAGTTGACCTTAAAGTTCAGCTTGAATGACCTTTTTTTGGCTCTTTTTCTACCATCCACATCTGTCAAATCAACCTGGGGCTGCATTTGCTCTTGCGTCCACGTCCTGGAAGGGTCGTCTACAGTCCCTTGGACCTTTACACTTTTTAAAATGCTGTTGTGGTCCGAGGGAGGTAGTTCTGTTTGAGCTCCTCGGAGTGACGGTCGCATTTATACCAAACTTTTCAGTCGGTAAGGCAAGGATTAACAGTTTGTACAAGTCACTCTTTTTAGTGTTTCTTTGTCAAATCATAACGTTTCACAGTTTATTTGTTGAACTTCTGACCTACTAAAGGTAAATTGCTTTTAGCTGAATCCCTGTTAATTAAAACAGGCCTTGTTTCAGTTTGGCTCCCTCTCTGCACACCTTTTCATTAGATCGGTCCTGTCCCGAGCTGCGACCATGGTTTCTCTCCTGCAGCCGTCGTCTCTCCGACGGACCCGACCCCGGCCACCTTCACGTGTTTCTGCTCCCATGTTTAGGGTCGTCTCAGGGGGGAGGAGCTCCGGTGCCAGCCGTGCTTCTTGCGTTTGCATTCCTTCCCCGCTCAGCTCCACCGTGCGTGGGGCTGCCTCTTCCCAGGCTCCGGCCCGGGGTCAGGCCGCTCTGAGGGGGGGGGACGAGAGCGTGGATAATTCATCCAGGATGGGCCTGCAGGGACCGGTGATTACTCAAACTGTTTAAACGGTTTCTTCRTTCTTTAGATGAAAGCAGGTTTGTGAGGAGGAGGGCAGGGTCAGACCTTTAACTGTTTCAATGAAGCTTCCTCCCTTTGCCACATTATTTTTAGACGCTGCTGTTGAATTCTTTAGCGTTTTGACTTTTATCTCTGAAAGTTCATTCATGTTGAGCTCAGCTGATGGTTTTAGTGAGGTGGGGCTTTCCTTTCAGAATAAAAGTCCACTTTAAACCAGGAGACCAGTTGTCATGAGAATAGTTTGCAGTTTGAACTGTGAGACTCTGTTGCTCTTGTCAGTTTGTGTGGATTTGTGTGTGTGTGTGTGTGTGTGTG